ATCAAGTAACTAACACACAAAATAAGCACTAGCTGGGGGGGGAATGGCATCAACAAACTCTAAGAGTGGCCGTCAATCTTCAATCACTTTTCAAATACAGATTTGCAAATTGTAATAAAATAAGGTAACAGCTGTTTAGGCACTGGTACTGTTGCTATGTGCCCTCCGGTCAGAACCAACCCACAGCTGGGAAGAAAATCACAGACTGCCCATCCGTCTCCCTTGGGTCAGCTCACAGATTCAAGCCACACGGGGTTGCAGCACAGCTTCTTACCACTGGGCCATCAGAGCTCATTATATAACCATTGTTGTTGTTGAGTACCATCAAGCTAGAACCAAACCATAGCTGACCCTCCAGAGGGTTTTCAGATGCAATTAATCACATGGGAGGAGACTGCCCATCCTTCTTCCGCAGGGCAACTGGTGGATTCAAACCACGTGTCTTCGGGATTGCAATGCAACTTCTTACCACTAGTTCACTATTAGGGTGCCAATATCCTGTGGCCTCCAGCACTGAGAGCAACGCCAGGTTAACAAATCTCAAGAGTTCTTTCTCACTGTTGGAATGCTGGACACAGGGCTTCTATCAGACCAGTCCGAAATCCTTTCCTTCATCCATGGATGGACAGATGGATGGATGGATGGATGGATGGATGGGTCGGTTGGTCGGCTGATCAGCCAGCCAGAGACCAGCAGACATCTCAAAACATTTTCCTCATTCAGAACACAGCAAGTACAAGCAAGAGCAGCCTCCGAGGGCCACGGCGTGGCAGGGAGCCTGTTCCCAGTCTGGGGGTTTCCTTCTTGAATAATGGATCCCCTGTTCTCTCTTCCTTGGTTTACTTTCTAAGAGGCGGATGAATCAGGTCAGTCTTTCCCTTCTGCACAGGGGTATGCAGTCCTGTCTGCACATGAGACCCACCGCTCCCATCCCCCCTGTAGTCAGATGAGAAGCCAAACCCAGCTTCACACTCAGTTACCAGGATCTCACCCCCATACGACTGCTATGCCACGGTCAGGGGATGATGGGGGAGGGGGAATACTGCCCCTTAAAGTCAGATAAAGACGATGTTTCCCAAGTTACCAAGAGGGAACCCATCCTGACATGCTTTACTAGCTCAAAATGACCCTGTGTTCCACCATCTGATCTAAAAAAAACAAACAAAAGACTACTAAGCTATGCACAAATATTGGGAAAGTCTGCTGTCAGAGACCTCTCCAAAGTACTCAAGAGCAACGATGTCAGTCTGGAGACTAAGGTGTGCCTGATACATGCAATCACTTGCATCAGAGAGCTGGACAGTGACTGGGGATGACAGAAGGAGAACTGATGCCTTTGAGCTGTGGGCATGGAGAAGAGTATGGACTGCTAGGAAAACAAGTTCACCCTGCAGAGGGTGAAGCCAGGCTGCTCCTTGGAGGCAAGGATTCTGAAGCT